ATCTATGCATTCCTGTCTGTCCAGCTTTCCCTCTATATGAATTCATATTTGATTCAGGTATTTGCAAGTGACAGATAAGATTTACCTGTGTACACTTCCAACTTCAGTGATAAGAGTATTTCAGCAGATTGTAAAATTTTGAGTAGAACATGAACTTGCAGTTTTACAATACTGCCACTAATTGAAGCACTCTACAACACCTGCTTGGGAGAAATGTAGAAATGTCTGTAATTACACAATATGAGAATGGAGCATATTTATATTATCATCTAAACCCGTGGTTGAGAAGCATTCCTTCCCTGCACTGATATCATAGCCCTGAGGCAGGGGACATTCCGTTGACCCCCTGCTCAGAATTTTCATGTCCATCGCGGATATCTGAATCCGAATATAGAGTTTAACAAGAATTCCAAGTGATTCTTAAGAATTTCCTTAAGAAACCCAGACTGAGCGTCTCTGACACTTTGGAGATCTCCTAGGCTAGGAATGGGAGCTCTGGTAGCGTAGTGCCTAAGGCACTTGCCTGCTAACCAGAAGGGTCGCGGTTCAAACCCACCAGCCACTCCTCGGAAGGAAGATGGGGCAATCTACTTCCGCAGTGATACTGACTCGGAAACCCAGGGAGGGGTCCAGTCGGTCCGACTTCACGGAACATAACAACAACAACAGGCTAGGAATTACGACTACCGTCTGCCAGCCACATCGTTCTCCCCAAGAGCGGCTGGTTGGAAACCATCCAACAGCTAACCTTTCGATTAGGAGCCCAGCGTTTAACTACTGCGCCACCAGGACTCCTTGGAGTGCACTTAGGAGAGTGTAACTGGTGATGTCTTAGCAATTTCCACTCCTCTTCCAACTAAGGCGCCCTCCACAAAATTTCAGCTCCTTAGCTCCTTCCCAGCTTCCAGTTCTGCGAGAAGCTTCCCCGTCTCCCTAGCAACCTGAGCTACCACCAATTGCAGTTAAGGATTGTTGGTCACGTGTCCTCTGCCCCTTCCCACACTGCGACAACATGGAGGTCCCGGTAAACTGTGGCTGCTAGATTTGAGTTACTCTACCTGTAGCTGCTACAGCCCTGACAATGGCGACTCCCACTTTGTGTAACTTGCGTCGGAGCCCAGATGAACTTCCCGGCGACCCTTCTCAAGAAGAAGATGAAAACTGCGATTCTGAAGATTGGGCCAGCGACTCGTGTTCATTCTCCTCAGCGACTAGCGATTATGAGTAAGGCTCTCGAAGAGGGACAAATGCAGCCATTCCCTCCATCTGGAGAGTGTTCATGTAGTTGGGGAAGTGCAGAGGGTCTTGCTACGCTTACGATTGGATGCTTAAGGATATATAATAAGTAGAGTTTATTTGAGCTACGTTTTAATTGTGTGATAATACAATCCGAAAGGACGGTGCCAGTTTTTGCTACTGTTGGCCTTTTATGATTAGCAGATGAAGAGGAGCTCCTCTTTCTGGTGGCGACTGTTATACCCAATGAGGGTGTATTTGTTAGATTGTTCATAAAACTCTGATACTACCGCAGTGCCTTGTTGTTCTGGTGTCATGGTCCTTGTGACTTTAACCTCAGTAGAGTAGAAGAAACTCTAGGGGTGCAGTGGGTAAAGCACTCTGCTGCTAACTGAAGGGTCCACCAGCAGCTCTGCGGGTGCAGCAGACTGCTTCCATGAATTTTTACAGCCTTGGAAATCCTGTGGAGCAGTTTTACTATGTCTTATGGAAAGGCTGAGTCAGAATCGACTAGACGGCAACAGGGTAGAGAGACTACACGTTTTCTAATGGAACTTGTTAAATTATTAAGATTTTTTTTTCTTGTGTAACAGAAATGGATTGATATATAAATGAAAGAAAATTCACCATAGTCCTGCCGTGAAGGACAGCTTTTCTTAGTGTTTGGGTATTTTTGCCATGTTTTCTTTTTTATCCCCATTTTTTT